TGAGAGTTGGAGAAAAGAATTTCTTTTATTTTACTATAGCCATGGGTTTTCACATCGTATGACCTCAGCGTTTTAGTTATTTACTTTCGAGCTGCGATCGCATTACCTTATCAAGGAACCGACATTACCAATCATGTACACAGGAAATCCCTGAGATGTGGTAGGCGTGGCTGCGTACTTCAACTAAACGTGGCGCTGGTTGTGCTTTCGGAGGAATATTTTCATTTTGACACAATTGTGGTAATTCCCTGTCCAACACGGAAAAAGATGACAGCTGCCAACTGAAATATTCCACGAGTAACCCAATGTAAGCCAACTTCAAATGCCACGTCCTACTCCATATCAGGGATAAGGTAAGTAGGCACGATCATATTGCATTTCAGCAAGTTTCGACCTTGTCTTTTTTTTACTGTAAAGGGAAGCCGAATTTCACCGCAGAACCCAAATAACAACACAAAACTATGCGCCTCTACCTACCTGCCACATGACACCAGCAAAGGACGATGGTATTGCAAAGACACACATCTGCACATTGCGCATCCACAAAGACACTGGTGCAGAACCTTTTAAGATCTTCTCAAAATATATTCCAGCAAATCCGGAGAGGAAGCAGGCAATCACGACAGCGAAAAATCCTGAAATTTTGATATGAGGTCATTGTCCTAGCCACGAGTGAAGAATCAACATATGCGCTTGTATTCCTTAAAAGCAATTCTTACAACGTTCATCGCACTTCCTCCGAGTCTTCAATGGATAAGGTTTCCTCATTCCCATAATTTTTGCCTAATTTTCGGCATCCTTGTGTTTTCTTTGATTTTAACACTTCCAATAGATATATAGTCAAAAGCGTAATCGACAGCATGTAACATCGCTGATATGTGGCCATTTCGTAGACAACGACTGGATCGCTTTTAGCATGATTGAAGCAGGGGATCCAAAAATTCGCAGAAATCGTTATGAGGTGATTGCGTCATTTATTTACCCCCCCCCCCCAACACACACATACTAGGAGCTGGTCAGAGTGCGGAACATATAGTAGACCTAATAAATCTTATGATTAGGGCTATACGGTAGGGTGTTACTTTGCTTCAGCCCGTGTCCTCTTGAATTGTGGCAGTATTTCACAGTGCGAGGTTAAGCGCCATCCTTTGAAATAGCTACACTGGGCCGTTCAAGACGATTATAGCAGTTAATAAGCGAAAAACTAGAGAATTATTTGCCTCACCAACTAATGGTCCGTTGTCCATCCAGACCGGCTGAGTGACTCCCAGCCGACTGCAATTGTACCAGAGAAACTCCGACAAACAGTACAAGTAATGCGAACCTTGAATAGTGCTGATTATGCTATTGCAGTGCATATTAATGGGATAACAGATCTTCTTTTTGGACTAACCACTGCGTCCGGGTTAGCGATCGCTTGAGGATGACAACGGTAAAAATCGCAGCTGTGAATATTTTGAGCTGAGATGTTATCTGCAATAGATGAGCGATAAATCATGAGTCTCGAAACATTGCTTTTCGGTTCCTGCTATTCCGGATAGCCGACTGAATGAAACTAAGATCCCATCAAATACCGGTCTATGCAAGCCGATTCTCGGACACGATAAGTAAGCTCTTTCTATTTCGGAGTCTTTACAGCCACGTTTGAGCAATAAATATGGTTCTACACTGAAAGGATAAAGATGAAGTCTTCGCTGTAGACCAACCACCTTTGTGGGATGCGGCGCGCAATATACATCCACTCAGAATCGTAGTGGCTTATTGAATGTGATGTGGCTTAAAGACACATGGTACGCTCAAACACATTGAGGGTGTATGAGACTATCAGCCCCCCAGCTGTCGATGTGTCGTGGTCCCCCCGCCCAAAACTGCACGGGGTCAGAGTACGGGGCCGTGGGAAAGTCGTAATTCCTTGCTACGCCGCCCGTTTTCGCAAACTCACGTTTTTACTAACACCGTCCGCGCGACGCGGTCGCGTGCAGCTCTCTTGGCTTTTTGCCAAGTCCTGTAATTGCGCTTTGGAATACAAGTACAACGCAATTTTTTATGCGGATAACATTTTAGGTTCTGCAAAATAAGAACTGAAGATGATGACGAGGGCTAGAACTCAAGAGCAACTGTGCTGCTTCTGCAACAGCCCTCGCAGGCCGCGCATTCCCACAAAACATCAAAATAAAAACGGCCTAAGCGTCCCACTCGTTAGTTTGAAGTATTTCTATAGCATTAGAGCCGGATTCGAGCCGGATCGCAGAAATGCACACGCGATTTTAATTTATTGCGTTTCCTTAGTTTTTTTTTCAATTTTGTTTTATTTACATCTACATTCGTTGTTCTTCATTTCTAGCCTTTGTCATCTTCATCACCTTCTATTCGGACTTTGAAGCATGAGCAATACCTCAAATGTTAGGAAATTGCGTTTTGCTTGTATTGTCATGTTTTATTGTCATGTTGTCCGTTTTTATTGTCATGTTCTGTGGGAATGCGCGGCCTCTGAGGGATATTGCACCACAGTTGCTTGGAGTCTATGGGCCCTTGTCAATCATATTCGTTCGTTAATTTTGCCAGGCACTCTAAAATGTTATCCGCAATAAAGAAGTTTGGCGTTGTACTGTGTATTCCAAAGCGCAAATTACCGGAACTTGGCAACAAAGCCAGAGGCTGCACAGCGAGCCGCGCCGCGCGATACGTGTTAGAAAAACGTGAGTTTGCAAAACGGGCGGCGTAGCAAGGAATTACGACTTTCCACGGCCCCGTACTCTGACCCCGTGCAGTTTTGGGCGGGGGGACCACGACACATCGACAGCTGGGGGGCTGATAGTCTCATACACCCTCAATGTGTTTGAGCGTACCATGTGTCTTTAAACGTAGTAATGACTTGCTGGGGTAACCCTCGTACAAGTCAATGCTTTTATGCTGCCCGACGAGTCCGCTAGCGATACCCCTGCCAAGCATACCCGCCTTCATTGCACCGGCTGTACCGGAGCAATGAAGGCGTGGTATGCGTGTAAGGCACGCCATCGTTGTGATGATCACAACGGGGGTCGTATTTGACCGCGAGGGAGGGGGGTCGTATTTGGTCTGAGAAAAATTTTTTGATAGTTGATTTCTCTTGTTTCACGGACGCTATAAAGGGGGGGTCGTATTTGGTCGTTGTTGGGAGAGGGACTGCCAAAGATCTATACAACTACTATTTCCGATAGTTGAAAATGATAGTTAAATCCTGACGACCTCCCCCTCCCCGACAGCAAAATTTTGGGGAAAAACCAGAAATTTTTCGGGAAATTTCGGAAAAACTGGTAGGAGGTTAGGAAAAAATCTGAGAAATTTCCCTGTTTCACATTGGGTATATAAATTTCCTATTTCCGTCAACGTGGCGATATAAAAACATAATTGAATTGATAACTACTCCGTAAATTACACACCATACAGACACTAGGCCGCCCAGATATCATTATTGCCGCTTGTTCCCTATAGGGGGTTGTCTGATCATGACCAGGAGTACTTACCTCCACAGCTCCTTGGATTCTCATCCTGATAGCGGCTCTTTGAGATTCTCATCCTATAGCAGCTCTTCGTTCTTCAGCATCACACCCCCTTGAGTGGAGTTCATCAAAAAA